CATTTTGGGAAACTAGATCTACATTTTGAGAAATTTACGCCTACGTTTTGATAAATCAGACATTGAATTTTGCAATTACATTTTGATTTTAACATGGACTTTTGCTGCGTATGGCACCCCATATAAGTCCAGTGTACGCCCAGTACATCCTTCGGGTAAAGTAGGTGGTTACCCCTGATTACTGGTCCATTCAGTCCCCTGTTGTTTAATGGATGTGCCACGTAAGATAGTGATTAAGGTCGCTGATTGGCATATCCTTGGCGCTCGTGTCTAAAGAAATGAAAATGAAATAGTAATTTAATGGTACAGTAAATGCAAACTGATGGCGTACAAAGACGAACTGTCCGGTTTGCACCAGGAACTACCGAAAAAAGAGTAGCGTATAAACACAAATGATTAAATAAATTAAATGGGAAATCCTTTCTACACGTCGGAAACATTTTAGACCAAGGCCCCATAAAATTGTTTTTAATTAGTATATCACCCACTCACTCATCACTTTTGGTGAAATTCTGATATTTTTCTTTTTCAATCAACATATATTTATATTTCAAATGGTCGTTTTTCCATCTTTTTTCACTTGAACAGCAGTTTAGGATTTCTTGCAAATATGTTTACTGGTACAACAAAAACATATTTTTTAAATATAAATTTGATTCCATTCTTATGACTTTTTATATGTGTCCATTGATTTACTTGTGAACATCGGTAAAATGGGGCAAAAAAAAAAACAAAAAAAAACAAGAAAACAAAAACAAAAACAAAAAACCTTCCTCGCTCATCAGTTTTTATTCTTTGAGATAGGTTGATAGACTAATAAATTAATAATTTTTATGGGGCCTAATCCTGATGTATAGATCTATTCATAGACTCGTTGCCATCACATCCTCTGACATAAAATTCGATACTGGTTCCTCTAGGTCATCCCCAGCTCGAAAAATCAGAAAGATACGTGCCAATACAAACATATACACATTTTCTTTTTTCCCACAAACAATAAATTACTGGCATTAACTTTACGTCTCGATTACCAATCTATTCCTTTGCGAGTTCAAAACAGTAAAAATAATAAGTCTTCATACACAGGCAGGAAAAATTACAATATATCGACAAAAGATTGTTAAATATGTTTACATTTTACATTATTTTTTTTCATTTTTTTTACAGCTTCTGCCAATCCACACTTGACAATTCTTAATTTTGGGACACCTTTTAACAATGGTGGCCAGGTTCAGTGCGTGCCAACAGATAGTAGCACAACAATAACCATGGGAAAGGTGTTCAAAATATCTGCTAGTGACTCACTGACTGAAGCAGCTCTACAGAATCAAGGGGCATATGCTGGTGCTAAGAGACTATTCATACCCTATGATGGAAACTTCTTTGGAGTTTATTACTGTAAAGGTGTGCGTAATAGCGAAACAACCATTGTGGAAACTACAGTTGTGGATCTGAGTGGCGCATTTAGTTGTAAGCATTCAATTTATGTAGAAGATGAAATTAGTTCACTTCATTGGTAGTTTTAATGACACATCAAAATGTGTGGCTGTGTGTGGATAATAGTGGGAGCACTGTATTATTTATCTATTGATTATCATCAATTGGAAATCAATAAATTATCTCATACAGTACCGTATATCTTCATAAATGTTTAACTCGCAGTGTTTGAGCTCTCATTAACAAAATTGCAAAATAATGACCAAACTAAATTTGGCTAAATATTTTAAATCCAACTAAAAGGCTAATGAATTAAAATTCACTGTGTATATTATATTGTTTCTGTGCTAATCAAGCTTTGGCTATTCATTTTCATACTATTAAATTCCCTAAATTAACATTTTCCAGCTTAAACCCTGGACTCTGTATGAGTCAACTGTATTCAGGTAAAATTGAAAACCAAAGCTTGAATGTTAAATCAATTGTCTTAACAAAATGGCCTTTCATAAAAAAAAATAGTATTATGTTTACGATTTAATTTTTCAATAATTATATAAATAAATGATACATGGATTTATAAATCACCTTACTTTTCCAGCTGATGTTATACCAACAAACAAAAAAACAAGTATCACAGCTTCTGTTGGTGATTCTGTTACTGTATCTTTTGATGTAACGGGATCTGGTAATCACATTTGGAGGAAGGATGGTGAACTGCTAGATAACTACGAGAACCTTTATGATGATTCAAGCTTAACTTTTGATAGTGTAAGCATTGAAAATGGCGGCATGTATGAACTTTACTTAGAGGGACAAAGGGATTACTACAAACATTCGTTTATTGAACTTCTTGTGAGAGGTTGGTTATTGTTATTTAATTTCTAGAATTAATTACACAAAATCAGTTTTTATTCGAAGAATATCTAATGGATCAATAATAAAATGTTATCTCAATTTGTACAAAAAGTATTTTATTAATGCTATCACCTACCGTACCCACCCTTAAAATGTCTATTGTCCACTCTTAGTTTTCTACAGCTAAAACGCTGGTATTTGCTACTGCAATAAATTGCACCTCATAACATTGTGTTGTCTAAAAGCACCATAGGCCCTACTCAACCCGTTCAATTAGACTTTCGGTCATAAATGTTATACTTACATATTTCTCAAAAATCATTGATACATGGTGTACTAAAATTTTAATTATTTTTGCCATGCCAACCTTCAAGAAATATTTTATTTTTTGTTGTTTGATTGGTACATTTTATTGATTACATCGGTTATGCATTTTGGGGTAGTGACGTTATTTTATTAGGACATTTAGTGAAATGTACACCCCGTCCTAACTGAACTACTGTACAATGTATTGCTTCTTGGGGTACAGTAGGTACATTCAGCATCACTTAAGTATACCACCAACACACATGCATCCCCCCACACTGACAGAACTATGCTTCTTTTGGTGTAACCACATTCAGCTTCCATAGTGACTCTCAAATGTTGTATGTGCTACTAGTAGTTTCCAAGAGGCGTCCTCACGTCATGTAATCACATATAAATGAACACTCATCTGTAGATGTAGTACATTTATTCTGCCTCAATTTAGTCAGTTTTTCCCCCTCCTCGCCATTTTGGATTTTAAGCCACCTTAAGGAAGATAAAACCCAAAGAAACAGTTTCAATTTGTAAATTAATCATCTAATATGTTATATCATTCAGGCTGTCCTGCTGGCCGATGGGGTGCACCTCGATGTACAGGTGTTTGTAATAATTGTTATAATGGTGGCGTATGTGATGATGAGACAGGGAAATGTGTTTGTCCACCAGGGTTTCAAGGAGAAAACTGTATGGAAAGTAAGTTGAAACAATTTATAAGTTACTTTCAATTTTAATTCTTCTCTATTTCCTGAAAATACTTACCTTATGAAACGATATCAGCCGGATTTCTAAAGGAACTTACCCACGAAAAATAATGGAATCATCTAGCCCAGGTGTATATAACTTATCAACATTATGGTGTACGGTAAGAATGGCCCCGGAAAAAATGGCCCCGGAAAAAATGGCCCCGGAAATAATGGCCCCGGAAAAAATGGCCCCGGTAAAAATGGCCCCATATGACAGGTAGGTAAAAATGGCCCCAATAATCAAAATCTGAATTAAAACGGATTTTCTTGAGTCATTATATGCATTTTTTTTATCTTAACTAATTTAGTTTTTAAAAGGAATCGCCCCAATAATCAAATTCTGTAACACACAATTGATCCACATGCTTTAACTACTGTTTATTTGCATTGTTTATAACATGAAAAGTTAATTCATTTGATAGTTAACAAAAGTGAAGTTTGTGGTTATCTATGAGTTGCATATTTTGGTAAAGTACTGTATACTGTATGTCATTCCTCTACTTTGTTAGTGAAATAACGTTTTTAAAACTTTTATTTCTACTATCAAAAGATGTTATTCAATGGCCATTGTTTTTCAATTATCTCTCAGAACATTATTGGCATCTGCTGTACTTAAAAAACAAATGCTTTTAAAGAAATAAAAGAAATCACATATTGATCTGAGTTCAAAGGAAAAAATAAACTTATTTCTAAATTTACAATTTTCACCTATAAACCTCTTAATTTCACAAAAGAGTGGGTTCTTTTTCAAACAAATATATCCTGCCTAATATATGTGTGTTTAGATTAGATCTTTTGCTTTAACTTTGGTAACTGAGATCACTTTAGATACTATTTCTGTATAAACTATTTTTTTTTTCATATTACTGTAAACCTAATGGGTTTTGATAAATTTACTCTGCACTACGGAATTTCCAATAAAAAAAAAGAAAATTAATTAAAAAGACCATAGATTAAAAATAAGTAAGGCATAACATATTTTTATTTTTATTTTTTATTTTATAATGAAATTTAGTAAATCAAATTATTATTTGTGGCTTTTATTTATTAAATCAATTAAGAACATAATCTAAAAACAAAATTTAATGAAAGAAAGATCGACGTTTCGGGTCCATCATGGAACCATTCTCAAGATCAAGTAAATTGAAAAAAACTAAAAACAAAAATGCCAAGCAGTGACAGGAAGTAAGTAATTAATTTACATATCAATAGGGCCTACTTTGTGGAGCCACAATGGAGCTAAGCAATAATTAGCCCTTCTTAGCAGATTAACTAGATAAACAGTTTGGCTTTGACTGAATCAGTTTGTTTGTTAAGTGTAGGTTTCAGTTCTTTGATCCAAAGCATTT